TTTACCTGTCATTAACTGCCTGCATATTATTATTATTATTTTTTTACATTCTTTCGAGTTTTACAGTTGAGGGGACATTAATTTGCACCTTGAGGTCAGGAGGCTTTTGGCTGTGTGACTGATTAGCTGTTAAGGAGATGGAGAACTACAAGGGTTAGTGCTCAGATAATGCCTTTGTGCCAAGTGGATAAGTAACAGGAGGATGCAAACCTGGGTGTTGCATATGAGTAAGATTTGCTTTTACAAGTAAATATTGTGAAAGTTCTTTGTTGTTTCGACAGAAAATGTTCCTCATTTTCTAAAAAAAAACGGTTTTGTAACTCATTCTGATGCAGTATAATGATGGCGTTGTTGGAGGAAGGGTGGTTCTATCTTATTCAACTGGTTCAGTCTTAGTACCCTGGGAGCTGCCATCTACAAATATGCACTGTCCTGTTGGTCCTTGAATGGCTTTGCTGTAGGCTTCTGGGAGGTTGCTACAAGGTGGTTAAAGGGTGCGTTAATATAAATAGCTGGATAATTGTTGCAGTTAGTTAGTCAAGGATTTTTAAATGATCAAGCTTGGGATAGCCGCCACAATAAACCAACCATGTGTTTAATATGAATACATCACATCTCTTAACTCAGGCTGTATCAGATGTACAATCATCCAGACTTAAACTGTCAACTCAACAGATATAAACACATCTGCTGGTGATGTCTCCTTTTTGATGAGATAATCAGCAGTGTCCATTCCAAGATTCATATTAAAACCCAACCCTCCTCCCTCTCACTCTCCTTCAGTTTTCACTACTAATCAGCATTATTGATCAGAGCCTAAGTATGCGGCTTACATAAGGTGCCTCCTCTTCTTTGAATAAGGAGGAAAATCTTGTGCATGCATAATACAACAACTAGAGAGTTTAGAAAGCACAGGTCATGTTCAATAGGATCTTGCGACACATTTCACTGATACCCTATCTACAGTCACTGAGCACTCTGACCACAAAGTGGGTGTGTGAATGTGCTAACATATGTATTGAGTTTCTTTTTTACACTACATTGATAAAAAAAAAACAAAAAAAAACTGCTGAAGTCTGATGAAAAATGCGGGAAATAAATCCTGTCAAATGGGGATGAGCATCTACTTTCTGCAAACTTCATAATAGATGAATTACTTTATTTGAGTGGTATCCCCCCTTGTGGTTATATGCCGCATTACATCAAATCTACAATCAACAGATGGAGCCACTAGGAAACAGTATACAGTACACTCTATAGCTAAGACGTTAAACAGTGAAATTAAATGATCAACTTTAAAAGTGATTATATCAGTTGAAAACAGAATTTACAAACTGCAGCTTTCTTACCTTGGGTTGTTGTATAATAATGGAGGGTCTGGGGATTTGAGGATATTTCAGGTCCAGTTCAGGACTATATTCCAACCCCAGCTCATCCTCCTCTGAGCTTTGAGAGATGCTACAGAAAGATGAATGTGTCTCAAGATATGGGTCAGTGTCTTTGTCCTGCCAGTGGCAGCTAGTGTTTGAGTTTTTACCATTGATTTTTCTGGATTTGGTAGAGCGGGTGGACTTAGAGCTGACAGACCTTTGACGCTGTTTGTGCTGCTGCTCCTGTGTGATGTCCAGTGTAGGTTCTGGCTGGGACATAACTGGATCGGCTGCTGGAAATCCATGGTTATTTCTGCTTTGTCTGGAGGTATTTGACTCCTGAGAGGGGGCAGGATCCGTGTTAACATCTGATGGATTACCAAAACAGTGGCCTAGAGAGGAACAAGGTAGTCCAAGCATACTGGTGGATTTAGATGTTACCAAGAAATGCAGTCAAATAAATCCTAATTACATTGACATTAGGTTGATTTGAGCTTTTCCTGTCTGTAGGACAACATTATGCAGTTAATCTGGATCTTGTACATGAGTGTGAACAATAGCCAGTTTGATATCCACATCATTTCCTTTATATGGAATGAAGGCAATTGCACAATTTAATGACAAGCCAACCTGTTCCACTCTTGAAAAGAAAACAACTCTTTATTCAGAGCAGACATTCAGCTTGATTGATGCTGACAAATATCCTCAATAGATGTCCCATGTTTTTTGTGTCTTCTTCTTATGTCATAGCAGTATATGATGTCCATTTGTCCAGTATTAGTGGGTCATCAGTGTATCCCAGACCTAGCCTGTTGACAAAACTGTGCCAGCCATCTGCCAGTCAGTAGGTCATCACATCATTCTCTCTTTCGCTGAAAATAGATTCCCTGCTCCAAGTGGCTTCAACCGCTTTTTTATACCGGTGAGGGTCACTCATTTATCAGCCCTTCAAAGTCTCTTCTCTGCCTACCTGACAACCTGCGCATGTGTGAGTGTTTTAGGGGTTTTGTGTATGTGTGTGTGTGTGTGTGTGTGTGAGAGAGAGAGAGAGAGCGAGAGAGAGGGAGTTGCAGTGTGTCAGTGGTTGGTGTCTTGTTACTTGACCAGGTAGCCCCTGGTTTGGAGGCAGGGGATGGCCCGCGCTGTTTCAGCAAGACTCTTGTTACTATCTGATCCAGGATCAGTTACTAATGCACTTGCACCGCATCTCACCACTATTAATTAATGAACTCATCTGATCACAGAGCAGTGGCCTGGAGTGTAAGGGTTATTGGAGAGTTACAGATGGTGTTGAATATGAGTGTTCAAGTTACAGGCAAAAACCGTAAGTGATAGGCATTAGATGAGAAAGAGAAAGGAGAGAGAGAGAGAGAGAGAGACTTAGCATCCCCCACAGGATGAGTGAGACAGGAGAAACCCAGCTGCTCCTGAAGATTTAAACTTTATATTCTAAATTATTTGAAAACACAATATCTAACACAACTGTCCATCTGTGTGGTACCAGGTTAAGCTTAATCAAGGGTTAAATACCATTAAACTCACCCGTAATGTAAAATAGTACAAAAGTGTGTCTTGGCCACAAAATATATGCAGGACCCGCATTCATGAAAGCCCTGCATTTCAACAGAATAAAAGGTCTCTTTAAATCCATGTTTATAGGAAGATTAAATATACTACGTACAACTGTACTGAACTTAAAGAAGGATTATTGTTCCAGGTGACAAATACTGTTGGTGCCCATAAAGTGGGACAATCAACAAAAACAGCAGAACATACAGAAAAGTTTCCTAAAATAGTCCATGTGTCTGTCAAGTTAAAGTTGCAGTCCATCATTTTTAACAGTAGGACTCCTAATGGTGCCTAATGTCATACCAGCAAAATGAAGTAACGTGAACAGCTTCTGCAACCATGGTTGTCCCAGGATCAGCACCTTGGACAGCGGTTGTTATGCACGTTAATGCAGAATGTCATTAACCATAATATAAACCGTAAAATGATGCTTTGATCATTTGCATTTTTTACTCAAATTAGCTTTTACTATTGTAAACTAGACTTAGAACATCTAAGTCTAGATTTTGAACTTCCACATTTAGATCTGGAACATCCGATGCTTTAGCTGGAAAAACATAAAACTTTAATATCATTATTTGGAACTTTCATATTTGGAACAATTCTGAATCTGGGACCTGTGCTTCTCATTAATAACTCATATCATGGAAAGCTGGAATACTGAAAAGGAAGTTTGGATGTTATACATTTAGAATAGGATGTTTTAGTTGGTTCGCTATGTTCAAATGTAAACTAACTCAACCAAAACACAATCTGACACAGTGTGATACTGCTACACTTGTAGAAAAATGATCAAATGGGATTAACTTGTATTTAACTAACACTGCATATTGATTTTTATAGTAAATATTGTAAACTTCAGAATTAATTAATTATCGCAACGTGAAGTTTGTGTGTGATCTAACATGTTTTGTTCTTGATCTACCACCTTTTACACAAAGCATCTCCGTCTGAACAGCGTACACCAGAAACAGCATCAGTCACATTAGATGATGTTGCACATGTGGAGCGAGGAAACAGAACGCATTAAGAAAATATATGCTGACATACTACATGCAGTGTGTCAGCAGGCCCTTGGTTATTAACAAAACATATTAATATTATTTACTGAGGACAGAACATTATTATGGTAATACATCTCATTCTTAATCTCTGTCTAAAGAGGTAAACAAACTCACAGTATGTGTTTTTATTTTAGAAACAAAATCTCATGTGGACAAATAGAGGTGTGTTATTCAAGTGTTGAGTGTAGCACACCCTGACAAATTGAACCAGGGTGTGATTATAAAACATGCATGAGCTTTTTTGTCTCAAAATGTAAACAGATATAGTTTACACTTACTATTTAAAGGCTGAGTACATCTCTATATTTGGAAAAAAGAAACATTTAATAAAAAGATGTGATAAGTTAATACATTACAACGTGTTAATTCTAGTAATAAAAAAAAGGGTAGGGAGCACTTAATGGTATGTTCTGTTCACTGTACGTGAACTGATCATGCTGAGAAACATACAGTTGACATCAGGGAGAGTTTAATCTGCTCTTGAACTTTGCCCCTTAAACAATTACATTCTTTATGCCAGTCCTTCATTGTTTCCGTAGGACATTTATATGTGTGAAAATTATTTTTTTTCGGCATGAAATTCCAAAATCCAAACTGAACTCATACCGACGTAAAACCAAGAAGGCAGCATTTATGAACCATCTTGGAGGAATGATGAACTGCTGCAGTTTTTTTCTCCCCCCCTGGCGGTCAGTGGTCTGCATTACAATAGGATAAGTTCCATCTAACCTAAACGAAGCTGTTTTCAAGATAAGGACAAAATGCAGCTATGGGACCTTTTATTCTGACAGAGACATTAGTCTAAACAGATGTGCAGCACTGACCTTATAATGCCTTTAGCGGTTAATTTTATAACGTAAATCCATATAGGCCCCATCTTACACATCGCATTATTTTTTAACAGCCACAAAATATAAAAATAGTATATTCTTCCTGAGCGACGTCATGGGCACGTCAGAGCCGGCCTTAGGGCACAAACACCAGTGCGTCAAGTCAGCAGATGCAGCCAGAAAAACACCAGGCGTGCTACTATGTTACCTTCAATTTAAAGCGACGGAAAGGTCAATCTTTAAGAAAGTGGGGGCGGTATTACACAGAATAGTGCAGGTGTGCACGTTAAGAAGTTTACATCCCAATTAATGAAAAAAAAAAAAACTGGTGTGAAAAACAACCTGGTTACTGAGCTTACTCTAATTCATGCGTCACGAGTTTTACTTTGAAATTTTTAACCGGAATAATTCATATGTTCTGCACAGCTTGAGTCTGACGAGGCACCTCTGAAGCGCACAGTCTGTGGATAATCACAGGTGTAAGGCTTAAGGTTCCTCGATAAGGGGAGATATAGAAGCGGCCGTCGATTTGTATCTGAGCCATCTTTAATCTGCTCAAAGTTTATGCTGCAACCATCTCTCCTGGATTCTGTTTGCTTTTTTCCCCTTCTGAAACATCTACAATGCGGTCCTCCGTTGGGTTCGTCTCCAGTTGCGCTCTCATCCTCTGCGCTCTCCGATTGATTGATGGTGTTAAAGGACAGCGGCAGTGTGGCGAGGTGAGAGGTACCACACTCGATCAATACTATTTTCACCCTGTGTCAGCGCCTCCTTCTACTGGTCGACCTCGTTATAGGAGGTGGCAATTAGAAAAACGCACGGATTGTTCTGCACAAGCGGACAGTGAGCTGGTAACAGATACGGTTAAACTGGTGACACATTTCCGGGTTGATTTATGGCATGATATCGAAAACCATTACCTCGTCAGCATAGGTGGCACGACAAAATGCACCTTAAACAATTGTGTTTTGAAGAGAACAAGTTTCAAGACCACGGAGCAGCGTGAATCTTTGATGTGGTCTGCTTTATGTCCACCACTCAGTGCTGTGTTGCCCTTATCTTTTTCCTGCATGGACTGGTCTTTCCTTCCCTGGGCCCTGGCTTGGCTCAACACCTCCGTCCAGGCTGACAGCACAGTCACACACAGTCCCTAGTTAGAAAAGCAACATTCCTCTTGATACTGGCTCAATCTCTGCTTTCACACTGGCACAGAGATTAGTGCAGCTCGTCAGTTGGGGCCTGTATGATGCTAAATTACTGTTGCTGGCTTTAGCCCTTGTGAAACAAGCGTCTTTCCTGACATGACAACATTAGAGCTGATATCTTGGTTTAAATAATGTGAAATATATTAGAATTAGATGCCACCATGGTGTGAAATGAATATTTAAACTCAGTGATTGACCCGAGCTCTTGAGGATGTCACAAGAGATAACAAGGGTTTAGTGCAACAGAGTTCAGAAGACAGTCCTATGCTCTGTAGACTTGAATGCGTGACCGAACTCTATCAACAGACTCACAGAGACCACAGAAACACAACAACCTACGTGCGTTGTAGTGTCAAAATCTGGTTTGGCTCAAGGAGCAACATTATGTAAACTGTCAGAAATTAGGCCACCCTCCTCTGTAGACCATAAGATCAAGAGAAGCTCTGTGGATTGGAGACCATTAAGATAATAGTTTTCACTCCAGACCACAGGAAAAAAAAAAAAAATAGACCAGCAATAATCATGCTGCTAATTGTTCCTCCTTGAAACATGAAAAGCTCCACCTGTTTTCCCAGCAGCTCACTGCTGCCATCACCCCTGCCCATATCACCGTGGAGATGGTATGTTGTGTTTCCATGCCAGAGAAGTGGTTGTGGCTTGTGAGATAACACTGTAAGTGGTGCTCATCTTTTCTAAGCCTAAGCAGATGTGAAAGTCACTTTCACTGTTGGTTCACTTAATCTGCTTTGATTTGCAAAACACTGTCACTTAGAATGATATTGTATGACTCATGGCTCTGATTTGGGTGGAGGCCTGCATTGGTGTGATGTTTACTGACCTACCTCTGGCCTATATTTTCCCCATTGTTTGGATCCAAGATTGTTGTATTATGCAGATGTTTTGTGTATATTTAACAGACAGACTACTACTATGAGTACACAGAGTGTGACAGTACAGGATCTCGGTGGAGAGTGGCCATCCCTCAAAACCCCGGGGCCTGCACTGGACTACCAGAGCCAGTACGTGGCACAGAGTGCAGTAAGTTAGCATGAACTGTTTATATGTGTATGCATGTGTGCGTTCAAGTTGTTGAGTGAATTTCACCTTCCTATCAGTAGCCTGGAGTTTCCACCACTACAACCTGACTAACCCTTTTTGGATATCCTCCAGCTAACCACAGAGCAAAGCCACGGGCCAATAACCTCAAAGCAAAACACTGTCGCATAACGCTCTCATCAGGCTTACTGCAAAATCTACAATATTAACGAACGATGTTGTTGTTCACAGTGATTATATGTCTAACATGAGATGCAGTAACTGGGGACAGATGTTGGTGGTTCTTTGAGAAACCTTTAGGTTGCACATCCGTCAAAATGCAGTTTATTAGTCAAAGCAATGCTTTTTAAAGGATGCAGTTATTCAGGGGCCCATGAAAGTAATTATTACATTATTTGTGAATGCAAATGTTTTGCCATGGAAACAGACCTGCTGAGTAAAAGGTGAGTCAGAGAGTGTTAAATTCTTCTTTTTGTTGAGAGAGGGGCACTCACTCTTCTCTTTCCTTATGAGAACACACATACAGACAACTTCAGAGCCAGTTTGTTAATTTCAAAACATGTCAGACAACTCTTCAGTATATCCAGTCTTTATCCACCAAATATTTTTGGCCATCAGAGTGGTATATCCTGAAGTTGTTTCCAGCATGTGATCAGTTTGTCACCAAAGATACAAGGACACATCAGTAGGTCCAGTCATGATGAGCTTTACAAGAAAAAGGTGAGTCAGAGGGTGTTGAGTCAGTAACACCTGACTGAAAAGTGGCTTATAATGATGGGACCAAAAAGGCAGATTTTAAATGTGTGAAATCACAGTTACTGTATGTTCTGCATAAGGTGTTCATAGAAGTTGTGGATTATTACTGGTGAAATCTCTGTGTAAGGTAATGGTACAGCAAGAAAGGTCCCTCACACAATAAGGTGTATTGGTGTGTTAATGGAAACCTACTGAGGTATGCTGAGCCCGAACCCACTGGAGCTGAACATTGCCTTCTGATATCCAAAGGCCCTCTGCTGGAGCTCAGCTACCATCTCCTTCAGCAGCACAATGTCGGCAATTCTCAAATTTCTGGCTTGAAACATTTGCTTTCACACCAATCAAACAAATGTGAACTGTAACTCCTTTCCTTTGTCTTATATGGCAGTGGCCATCAAACAGCAACAGGATTTATAGCTTGTGTCATGGGGTGTTTCTCATGTCACTTCCAGTGTATGATCGTTCCTTCTTACTCGACCCAGAAGTTGGTTCAGTCAATAAAGGCTTGAGGATTCAGGATTAAGTTTCTTACATTAACACTTACATTAGGAGTGAGGAGGCTGCTGGAGGAGCTGTGAGAAAGGATGCACAAGAACATCCTTCACAGGAGCTTTATATAACCTGATACACCCCTTTATCAGAAATCATTTAGTGATTGGATGCTTCAGATGAAGGATAGGAGGAAAGGCTGTATCGTGTCCTTGTGTCCTCTCTCCTTGCACAGTTTTTCTACTTTTTTGTTGTTGTTGTATCTTACATGGGTAGGACTAAGACACAAGGAAAAGACACAAGTGAGGGAAACGATGACCCATATAAGAGACTTGAGAAACACCCAGAGGACACTTGTTTCTGTAGTAAACGTACCCACATAACGTTTTTGCATTGGTTGCTTTGAAGCATGGGAAGGCATCACAGTAGCATTTGACCAGGTCAGGTTTGAGGAAAAACTGTCAAAACAATGGCAGCTGCAGGAAACGCTTGGCTCAGTGGAAACACTGCAGAGACAGTGTGTAACAGGATGTAAGGATTACATTCCTCGATCACTTGGGCAGTGTCATACTGAATGCAGCGGTGATTGACAATTTCTCTGTTATCTTTAGTCTGTTTCTTTTATATCCTATAGATGATTTTTGTGGTAGAATGTAATGAGGTTTGGGAAAAGGAATATGCTTCCTCATCCCTGTGTATCTCTCTTGCTGCATCCCCCAGCCTTCTCTTGCAAGGCTGGCGAGTTCCTGGAGATGTCTGCTCAGGAGTGTACCCAGTGCGCAGCAGGAAGCTACTCCCTGGGCAGCGGCATCCGCTTCGATCAATGGGATTCCATGCCTCCTGGATTCAGTAGCCTGGCAACTTCCCTCGAAAACACTCGCTACGAAGAAAAGGGACTCTCCTGTAACAGGTGTGTGAGTAAGATTTAAGTGTAACGTGAAGCCAGATTGTGAGTTGTCGAAATGTATTTTCAGTCTTTTCCCTTTGCAGTTCTTCCTGGGTACCTCAAGGAAACTATCTGGAGTCCAACAGGGATGAATGCACCGTCTCTCTCATCTATGCTGTCCATTTGAAGAAACAGGGCTCTGTGAGCTTTGAGTATCAGTATCCAGACAACAATCTACTGTTTGAGTTCTTTGTGAGTTTCACATCTTTATGATCTTTTATCCTTTTACTTCACTGATTCACTAAATATATCTATTGTATATCTATTGAGCTATTTCTTAAGGTGAATGCTGAGTGTTTACATACAGGACTATGTAATAGGCACAATAGGTACATGAATCGGACAATATACTGAATGTTAGTCATACAGCTGGTGCTCTTTATCCATTAAGAGCACTCAAAAACTCCTTTTTGGGTAGTTTCTTTGTGATTCTTAAGTGTAACACCAGCTCTTCTGTTGTCTCACATGGTGACTGTTGGCTCTCTGAAAGAGTATTTAAGGATCTGTTAATAGGCCTTTTTCACTGCAGGCACTCTGACACATTGTCATGGCAGGAAAAGCAAGGACTGCATCTCATTTTAGTGCATCAGCTGTAGTATTATTGTGCATGCTGCTCACTGACATGGCCTACTACTGGGACACTCAGCGTATATTTAGCTGATCTGTAATTAACTTTCATCATTAATAGCACCTGTGCCTTTGCTGCTATGGTGAGTCAGGTGATGAGTCTCTTAATTATTGCTTAATTGAAGTGTTATGTGTTACGTCAATAGTATGATAAATATACAGAGTATTTTCTTCTAGACGCAGCAATAGGGAATGGGAAGAAAATCCATCCAACATAAATCACTGCCAGGAAAACCAAACAATATTACCGTAGTTAAATCTTCCACTATTGGATTAGACAGACTGGCTAAAGCAGAGATAAGGACTGTATGTCCTGTTGTGAAATATATGTCTGAGTGACACAAGTGTTGTGTATGAGGTCATGATATACATTTATAACATCCTGTTTTCATTTAGAAAGCTTAACTCAAGGCCCCACTTTAAGATAGTTAGTATTTTGTGTGCATTTTAGATTCAGAATGACCAGTGTCAGGAGATGGATCCATCTGCTGATACGAAGTGGCTCAAACTGACCAATCACGGTGAATGGGCAACACATACGGTAAGTGCCACATGCTCTAAGATCAACAGTAGCTGTGAAGGACAGATACTTGACAGCTGGCCTTGGTCTTTCAGGATAAATGTGTTGAACTCAGAATGAGCAGCAAGAAATCGATGGATACAAGAAGGATGCCTGCTAGTACACAGAAAGTGGCAGCTCTTCTTTTGCAGACACAAAAATACAATGCAGTTAGCACAATGCTGAGAGGAGTGTTAAATCCTCCTGAGTACATATAATTTATTTTTATCTTATTGTCAAGTTTAATATAATATATATTTATGTGGTGAAAAACATTATTTTTGAAATGAAAATACAGTGACGTCTCAACTCTTAAATTAAAGATGCAAACTTATGCACGGGATACATTCATTTCATAGTGTTACTGATAAAACATAAAATGATGTGTATTGTAGGTGAACCTGAAATCTGGCTCCAACATCCTGTACTGGAGGACACATGGGGTCCTGATGGGGTCCAAAGTGGTGAAGCCTGTTTTCCTGAAAAATATTCAAATAGAGGGTCAGTAACATGCTTCCCTCTCTTTTTCCCTCTTTAATCAATGACTAATCAAAACAATAATTAAATATGTGATTCCCTTTTTATTCTCTATCATCTCCTTTTACCAGGAGTTGCCTATACATCAGAGTGTTTCCCATGTAAACCAGGGACATTCAGTCGAGCCCCGGGCTCCTCCACGTGTGAACCGTGTCCTCGGGACACCTACTCTGGCCACGGCGACAGCTCCTGCACCCCCTGCAACACCACCACTCAGTACGCAGGTAGGAACACACTGACACACAAAAAAAGGTATATATATATAAAAAAAAGAAGTTATCTACTCCTTGATCTATTTCATTATAGTTCTCAGCAGATATTTACTTGAATAGATTTCCAAATGTAAAGCAGTACCAGACGCTGTTTGAGACTCAGGGGCAGCGGTTCCATGGCAAGATATAACAGAAGGTAGCAGATGTTCTTACAACAGAAAACATGACTTAAACCTTGACCAGTTTGGATATTTTACCCCAGTCTAATGAAATTGAATGTCAGTCTAATTAAAATACTGTCAGTAATTTTCACCGAGGCACATTCTGATTGTCACCTGTTTATTCTACCTCAATTTAAAAAAATCTTCATAATCATATAATGCCGTGAATGCATGTCCTGTCCAGTAAAGTCAATGAGAAGTGACAGTGAGAAGGCTATAGAATATTCATAACATATTACATATTTAATTCAGTACACCTCTTTATGCATATTGTATGACCTCTGCTTCACTGTTGTTTTAGCAGTCTCCTGCAGAACTGTCTGAATTATTCTTTCAGTTCTTCTTTTATTCCTCATTTGCATCTTATATTACATTATCATTTGCTTTACTTTACTGTATTTCAAAAAGAACTGAATGATTCTCCATTTCAGTTGGATTCCTGAATTATGATGATTTGCATTATCTTTCAAAAGGGTCACCATTTACTAAAGAACTTTAGTATTTGGTCCATTCTGGTTTCTGCAGCTGCTTTTTAAATGACAAGTTGCTTAATTTATTTTTCTAAAGTAATTTTATTTTGCCTCATCACCACGTTTTTAAGCTGAGGGATCAGCTGTGTGTAAGGACAGACCTCCATGTTCCAGGAAGGACTATTTCCAGATCCACACAGCTTGTGACCATGAAGGCAAGGTGAGAGAAACAGAGCCAGCGTTACCTTCAAATTAAACACTCTGAGGAGTTTTTTTGTTGTCTTCCATCACCTTCCATTTCTGTAATTTTAGACGCAGGTCATATACAAGTGGATTGAGCCTAAGATCTGCCTAGAGGGTGTGACTGGTGCTGAGACGTTGCCTCCAGGTGGAGAACGAGAGCCGTGCCCCCCCTGTAACCCCGGTTTCTATAACAATGACACTGCCACCTGCTCCCCCTGCCCGCCTGGGACCTATTCTGATGGGAAGAAATGTAATGAAAACTCAGATTTATCTAGTATTTATTAGTGATATTTTTCTTCAGTTACTTTACTAAGTGTGTTTTTTTTATTGTGTGCATCCACCAGTGTGTAAGCAGTGTCCAGCAGGCACTGAGCCCACCTTGGGTTATGAGTATAAATGGTGGAATATTCTTCCTGCAAACATGAAGACCTCCTGTTTCAATGTGGGAAACTCCAAATGTGACAGTATGAATGGTGGGTGTTCATTTTGGCAGGATGCAACATATGCTCCCTTTTTATCTACCTGAATTTCCCTTTGGATCAATAAACTATCGATCTACTTAGCTATCAAGGTTGTATGTCCCTCTTTTAAAAGAATAGTTTGACATTTTGAGAAATATACTCACTTTCTTGCAGAGGGTTAGATAAGAAAAATACCACTCTTATGTCTGTATGCTAAATATCACATTATCAACTGCCAGCTAGGTTATCTTAGCACAGACACTGCAAACAAAGAGAAACTGCCAGCCTACTGTCCAAAGGTGACAAAATCTGCCTACCAGCTCCTCTAAAACACAAAAGTAAAAAACATATTTCCTGCATCTTAAACTGTTCCTTTAACGTGGACTGATGGAACACTTTATTTTAGGTTGGGAGGTGGCAGGAAATTACATCCAGAGTGGAGCAGGAAGCTCGGATAATGATTACCTCATCCTCAACATCCATGTCCCTGGCTTTAAGTAAGTGCAGTCATGTTGTATTTGTCAATCTCCGTCACTCCTGTCACTGGGCTGTCTGACAGTCTACGTCCTTTTTCTCTTTCTACATCATACATCAGGCTCCCTACATCAGTGTCAAGCCATTCAGGGGCAGAATTTGGACGCATCACATTTGAATTTGAAACTCTGTGCACAGCTGACTGTGAGCTCTACTTCATGATGGTGAGAACAGTTCCTGCTAAGTGTTTGCAGATGCATACATTTTTATATAAATGTAAAGGGAAAATGTGAATGAATGATTCTTTTAGGATGTAAACAGGAAGAGCACCACTGTGGTGGAGTCATGGGAGAGAACCCAAACAAGACAGACCTACACACATGTCCTGACAACGAATGCCTCGGTTTCCTACACATGGGCTTTCCAGAGGACTAACCAACCTTCCGATGTAAGTACAAGTGCACACACATGCACAGAGATATATAAATACATCCCTTTGTTTACCATTTATTATTTATAATCGCAGGAATTTTATTATATCAGAAACCATTCTGAACAGTTTTCTTAATGTTCTTGTTGTTATTTCTTCAAGAAAAATTGCACACAGTTGACTTGCCTAATAATGTTGCATGTTGTAAAACTTCAATATGGTCCTCAGTTCATAAATATACATTAGGAAACCACCATCAGCAAAAGGAAGACTTTCTTTTCCCTTTTCCCTGTATTTTTAAACCAGTACACTTTTATTTTGCAGTAGATATCTGAGATGTAGAGGTCAGCCCAATATTTTGTCACAGGGTCCTTTGTACGATCAGGAAAATTGGCTTGCCATCAGGTGGGTGAAACTTGAAGTTTATCAGCTTAGGTTCAGAAACACGAAAGCTTTTTAAAAAATTTACCAACAGTTTTATCAGCCTTTATCGGTCTAGTAAATCGACTCCACACTAGGTACACTGAACACTCCCTTCTGTTTGGTTTTAAAGATAATATTGAATCTCTACAAATCAAACAAAATGTGTTCACATAGTACTGTATTGTGCAAAATGCATCAGAGAAGAGATGCTTGTGGGCAGTAGGGGATCCAGTTCAGCTACTTCTACTTCATTGGCAGTAGTAGAGGTGAAGCTTGAATCATTAACTTACTGTTTTAAATTACCAGGTTTGCAGTGATGCCAGCAATTCAAGTGAGGCCATAACTGCATCTTGTATAAAACACAAATACTGTATGTTGTGAACCACTTGTGTGTAGGTGCTTGTGTTAGAGTTTCTGCACAAAGTTGGCTTGTTTTTGCATAAACCTCCTTGAACTCCACAGCACCGCACTGAATCTGCCCCTGTTTGTCTCTCTCCTTCAGTTACGTCGATATGTCAATGATGTGGCACGAATCTACTCCATCTCGGTGAGTAACGCTCTGGATGGAGTATCCTCTGGGTGTCGTGCCTGTGCTCTTAGCACCCAACCCTCCAGTTCTATGTGTGTGCCTTGCCCACCTGGACATTACATAGACTCGCACACCAGCCAGTGCACAGAGTGTCCACTTAACACACACCTCGTCTCCCATGCCGCACCAGGCCCTGATGCCTGCAAACCCTGTGGACCAGCCAGCAGGAGTGACAAGGTCTGTTGACGATGTTGGAAAAGGAATCAGTCTTGATGTTTGTTTCTGTCAAACCTCTTATATGAAACAACCATATCATTTCTTTTTCAGGATCACAGTTTATGTTACAGCGATTGTCACTTCACCCACACAGAGGGCAATGTCACTCTGACTTTTGACTTCAGCCTACTTGGCTCTATAGGATCACTGATGAATGGACCAAGCTTTACCTCTAAAGGAACTAAGTACTTCCACCATTTTAATATAAGCCTGTGTGGAAGACAGGTGTGAAGAGATAAGAACACACATGCAGACAATACCGTCCTTTTTAAAAAGTTGGCATGTACAAATGCAATGCCCCTCTTGCTTTGTTGAAGGTTCATTTGGCAGTATGCACAGATAATGTGACAGACCTATCCGTCACCGACTCCCAGAGAGAGAAGGGTGAAGGAACCAATGCCGTCAAAGCCTTCATCTGTCAATCAACATTAATCCCAGCTAGTGGACGAGGCTTCCACACAGCACTATCCTCGCAGTCTATTAACCTGGCTGATATGTTCATTGGTTAGTACTATGTGTAAAGTGCTGGTATGTAGTGTACATTCATTTGCCGAGGTCTGAAAATGGCATGTTTTACATGTTTGTTAATGGTAAATAATGAGACAACACAAATGAAAACAATATTAAATACATTAATTTTGTCTGTACACATTAAACTGACCTTTCAGGAGCAACAGTAGAGAATACACTTGATGGAATAAGGGCAAGACCAGAGCTATACCCACAGACCACCAAGAAAGTCCCTGATGTCAAGTTCTATTACAGGTAACTCCCAGCATTTCAGATTTGATTTATTTATTTATTTTCATCAAAAACACATCAGTGCTCAAAGGTTCTCTCTTGCTGCGCTGTTGGTAAGGTCCTTGGAAGAGACCTCATCCTGCGAGTTAGGTCGGAGTGCAGTAGTGACACTTCGCTGTAACCCAGAAAAGACCACTAAAGGCGAGATCTCAGTTCCCAGGTACTATATTTCAAACAGTTTGTCCAGTTTCTTGTGTTGAATTGCTCCTAGTCAGTTTTACCGACAACACATTTAGCCTTTATATGTGCTGTGATGTAGTGCAGAAGTGACGGTCTGTGTTTGACTATTACAGTCAGTGCCCTGCAGGAACATGCGATGGCTGCACCTTTCATTTCTTATGGGAGAGCTCAGGGGCTTGTCCCACATGCACCGAAAGAGACTACCATCAGATAGAAGGAGCATGCAAGGGAGGACACCAGGTTTGTGTGTCTGCTCTATAAGTGCTTGGACAGATTAATTTGTTTCTTCAGTAAAACACATTGGATTTGAAATGAACCAATTTACTGATGTTCTGCTTTGTGCCCACACCTGATGGACTGTGTAGAATTGATGGCCTATTTTCCACCCTTCCCCAAGAATAAGAAGAGTTACAGTTCATCTAATGTGAAAACAAACACAGTTAAAGCTGAGAGTCAGCACTTTAACAGTCTTTGTTTCACTTGAAATGCAGTGTGTTGGAGTAAAGCCAACACAACGAAATGCATTGTATGTGTGCAGAATTGATGTATGCAGTTTTCAGTGTATGCTCTGGCATGTTCTAATTTAGAGTTAATTACCTGTGTGTGTGTGTGTGTGTGTGTTCATCCTCAGGACCTACTGTATGTGTGGAATGAACCACAGCTGTGCATGGGAGGTGTAACCTTGCCTGAAAAGAAAACATTGCCATGTGAGGGTATGGAGTTCTGGGTACGGCTCGGTGCAGGCCTGGGAGCCTTCACTGCAGTGCTTCTCATCTCCCTCACCTGCTACTTCTGGAAGAAGAACAAAAGGTTCAGTTTGTCTCCTCCTCTCACCTTTCTTCCAGCTTTGTTTCCTTCATCAATCCTTAACCATGTCCTCTTTACCAATTCCCTCTCTTTCTCCTCTTTCCTTCTTTCCCTTGTCTTATTCCTCATTGTCCTTGTTTTCATTTCCTGTTTTGCCATCTTTTTTCTTAGTACTTCTCTTAACATTTTATTTTTTTTTCACTCTTTTCCCCCTTGCCTTATTCCTCTTTCTCATCTCTCCTGCCATTCTTTCCTTGTCATATAATAGTTTTAGTCACTATTCATGTGGGAGACTCAATCTTATTTGTATAGCGACAAATCACAACAAAAATCATCTCAGGGCACTTTACATAGTAAGCTCTGGACTTTATTATTATTATTATTGTTATTGTTATTATAGAGAAAAACCCAACAGAGTATTGATTCTACTGTTCTCTCTTTGCTAGGTTGGAGTATAAGTACTCCCGGTTGGTGATGTCTGCCAATAAGGAGTGCGAGATGCCAGGAGCTGATAGCTGTGCTGTGATGGAGGGAGAGAATGAGGGAGACATGGAGGATGAAGTTGTGTACACAAAGCCTTCTCTGCTTGGCAAACTCAAAGCCATAGCATCCAAGGTGAGAGTGACAGTATCGTGCTACCGTAATTTCCGGACTATAAGCCGCGCCCACTAAATGTAAGGCGAAAAAAACATGATGTACATAGCCGCAGGTGTCCACGTCATAACATGAGATATTTCGACAGCCAGATCGATCGCCTGTAACTTGAATCGACATCATATGCATTTCGTTGTGTGTTGTCCATGATGGTGTGTGCATGAAGCGACAAAAGTGGTGGCTTATAGTCTGGAAAATACGGTACTGTTTGTAAAATCATATTTTAAAAGTCTTTTGAACTATTGCAAAATGAATGTGTTTGTGATTTTAGGGAAATGGAGAAATATATGAAAATGTGCAGCTAAACTCATCCCATTCCAAAGCATTGGTGTGGAGCTAGAGGGGTGGTAAAGTGAGTGGGAGTGAGGGGTGAGACTAGACCTTCGAGACTTTCTACTGATCAGTCCCTTTAACCAACCACCCCCTTTATGAGCTTTGGTACCTGGAATACGAACTGTGTGTACATAAACACATATACACACGTCATGCACCTCAAGCCAGGTCCAGAGAAGTCTCAAAAACACGGTGGCCTTAAAGCTTGGTACGACAGAGCCATCCCAATCGAAGCATAGTACTGTGAAGCAGGTGTATACGAGAGACACTTCCTGGTGATATTCCCGATTCAGAGTGATGTCAGAAAGGCTGTAGAAGACCTCAGGGTAAGTGAGGACCTATTTGAGATGTTCTGTTAGTTTTTATTTATTTTTGGCTGTCTAATTTCTTCAGGCAGCCATGATGTGTTTTGCCATTAGTATCACCAGGGTTGATGTGTGTTTATCTTGCACAGACATTTACACTGGTATATTCTGGCCATATAAAGCCTCTATCTTTTTTGTTTGTTCTTTTGCTTTGTTGAAGACATTGTAGTGGGAATTGTTCTGCTGATCACTTGAAAATGAAGATGTCATATCATACGGATGAGGTTGTGGTGTTGATTGTCATTGTATGTCCAATAAATAGTGATGTATTTATGTATAAATTGATCCTGTTTGATTAATTCCCCTTTCAGCTGTCTCCTTCAGAAATCTACCAAAGGGTTCAGAGATGTAGGCACAGAATAAAAATTAATTATATAATTT